AATTAACCCTTTCAGTACCGATAATCTTTGGAAATCCGCTGGGACCTTTACACTTCCTAAGCATCAGGTATAATTGGCCAAAATATTAAATGGGGGCTGGGCTGGTAATGCCCTATCAGGTAAGGGACCCCAGAGACCTTTCCACGTCCTCTTTAGTGCCTACCGGCTCTGTAGAAATGGCGAAGTTGTTGTTAATTAGCAGGAAATACTTCCGCGATCTGAAACGCGGCGGGGCCGTCCACGTGATTTTAGCGGAGGGGGGGGGCTCTGGTGACAGATCCCCCGAGGTGCATGTAAACCTGATTCTTGGAGAGCCAAGCTCCCTCACCGACCAGTTTCGTATTTCGAGACAACGCGTGAAAACCACTCGACAGTGTTGCGTCGGCACCTGAAACGTGGAGAAATCCCCCAAACTGCGTCTTGGCACGTGGAGACCCTGAAAAACACACTTACTAGCCAGTAAATACATCGTGATGCGTGTTGGCACATCGTGATGCGTGTCGCCACTCTATACTACTGGACCTACACAACTGGCCGCGCTTCGTGCACGGCAGACTCGTCCATGGCTTCCATACTGCACAAAACCAGCACACCCAAGGCTCCTCAGACTGGAGTCTAGCGTCCAATCAGATTGGCTTCCTTTTCATTCGTTTAAGCACCATGCCTCGGACGCTGCCGTGGCGAGAGCTGGGCTTTGAGCTCGGCCGCGACGAAGCCGACGCCATCCTGGCCACGTTCAAGATCCACAGCACCGACAAGAGCAACACAATGTCCTGTAGCGTATGCCGCGTTGGTGACCACCACAGCATGCGCTATAGGCTACTCAAATGCGAGTCCAGCACCTGCAGCGACCTCACTTGCTCGTGGCGCGGCAAGGTGCTGGTCTGGTGATACCTACATCTACGAGTTGGGCGAGCACTTCACTGGAGCCTCTTCCCCCAAGCGAATTAAGCTTTCCAGACAGCAGAAAGAATACTGCCGAGAGCTCGCGAAGCAAAGGCTCCGACCACTTCGTATCCAGTACGCCATGGCTCGAAACTTTCACATGTCAGCGAGCGACATCCCTCCTCTGGGCAAAGTACAAAATTTCTGCAACTACTACGCGCGTACCGAGCTTGACAACCACGATCGCGTCGACGATCTCACGCAGTGGATTCACTCACACGCGTTCACTGGTACTGAGGACGATAATGAGACTTTTACTTTCGCTTGGGATCTGGACGCAGATGGCAAGCCTGTGGTGGGCGACGGCTCGGACGAAGAACCTTTCGTTGTGGGTGTAGCGACAAAGAACATGGTGAAGAGGCTCTCAGTGCCTCCAGAGAGCTACGTCCTTCATATGGACGCGACGTTCAAATTAAACACGTCCGACTACCCAGTCTTAGTGGTTGGTATATCGGACCGAGCTCGCAGCTTCCATCTCGTGGCAGTTTTTATCGTCTCGCAGCGGACGCAGCCAATCTACGAGGCGTGTTTGGCTTCTTTAAGCCGCCTGTACTACTGGATTACAACTAAAAGGCTGGCTCCTCGATACGTAATGGGAGACGCAGAGAAGGCGCAGCGGAATGCCATTTTTATGGTATTTCGCGAAAATCCACAGCTTCAGTATCTCATGTGTTTTTTCCACGTAATGACTAACGTGGAAAAGAGGCTGAAGGGATTTCCCTCACATGTAGCAGCAGCACTGGTTCGTGGTCTGTACGACTTGCACTTCGCCCGTGACGAAATATCATTTTCCTGGATGCTGGAGCAGTATTTGCAGACCTGGAGATTGTACCCTTACCTGGTCGACTTCTGTACGTACCTTGACAAACAATGGCTGCGAGGAAACTTTACTATGTGGCAGTGCTTTTCGAAACTCCCTGTGCGTTTGCTACCACAAACAACCCTGTTTAGTTCAACCGAGTGTTGAAGCGTGACTACACACTGCGACGCTCGCCTTAAAATGAGAACTCTGCTTAAGGAGTACGCGACTGTTGCATGAACGAGTCGCGCAAGCAGCGTGTATTTCGCACCACCCCAGAAGCAGCACCAGCCCTCACTCGTCGCGTGGTGGAACTCGTCCGAGAGAAGCTGCTAGCTCGCAATACTGCTGCTGACGGGATGTTTGGAGATGCTGAGGTGATGCACGTGGTAGCCCATCCTGCAAAGCGTATCGTGGTGGAGGGGGGAAAGCGGTCGACGGAAGAGCAGATAGCGGCTTCGGCCCAAATGGGCGCTAACTACGCGCGTATGGAGGTGCAGGACGAACCTCCTCACGGCTGGCCTGTTCAACTACGCGCGAGATGGTGTCCATGTAACTATTGGTACAAGTTTGGAACCTGTGTTCATGTTCTTTTTGCCCTCCGGGCATCGGATCGTCTTGATGGAGCTGGGCGGCGGGTGCTTGTGAGTCGACGAACTACTGGCAAGCGCAGTAGCGATACGCTGGGAGGAAGACCTCGTCTTATTGGGCCTGCGCTGTCTCTAGAGTAAAGTATCAGCTCCAGCACATGCGTACGGCTTGGTAGATACTCAGGATCGGGTGTAGTGGTCTTTTAATACGTCTACAGTAACAGTTAGTTAGCGAAGTTTTGACTCCAGCATCAGAGTTATTACGTGCATATTCGCAGTTGACACTCACAGGCCTTATACGCGTGGTGATGCCAGTGCTGAGAGCGAGGAACCGATCCTAGTCGAATTTGCGCGCTTGCACAGTGTCCGCTCAAGTAGCAGTAAGATACCTGTTAGCCGCTGCCACAGCACACGCACGCACACACTCGCCAATGAAATATACCACGGATTATAGACACTGGAAACGATTCGGTTCCCTTTCAGCAGTTCAGGTA